GCTCTGCCGGAAAGCAGCGCCGCGCCCTGCCTGTCGTGAAAGGCGGAGTGGGTGTGGAAGGGCCTTTAAAAACGTAATCGATATAAAACATCCTCAAGGTTATTGCCTTAAAAGCGTGGAGGAATGGCTAAGCAGTGTTGTCCCTGCAAAGCGCCGTGTAAAATCCAGCCTGAATCCGTACACTGACTATTCCCTGCTGATGCTGCCAAGGATGTGGCAGTGGGGAAAAAAAAAAGGGGAATAATTTGGTTTTAAGTGTTTCTGCCAGTGCTCTTGTTGTGTGTTTTCATAGAATCATAGGATTTGAGGGGTTGGAATGGACCTTAGAGATCATCCAGTCTCAACCCCCCCCTGCCCTGGGCAGGGACACCTCCCACCAGAGCAGGTTGCTTAAAGCTTCATCCAACCTGGCTGTGAACACTGCCAGGGTTGGGGCATTTTGTCTTAAAAAGGTGTCAGTTTCTGCATGGTAGGTGCAACTCAGCACTAGGCACGTGTTCCGTTGAACTTTCCCTGTGTGTGTTTACTGATGGAGACTTCATCCAATGTGTTCTTAACCCGTGTGTGTTTAGTGATGGAGACTTCATGCAGTATATTCTTAATTCATATATTCTTAATCAATATATTCTCAATCCATACTCTTCCCACCGCACATGAGCAATGAATCTAACAACACTGGGTGTTCTTCTGCTCACACTGACTTGTCTTGCCCTGGACAGGAGTAGCACAGCAGGACTTGAGTAGGAAAACACAATCAGAAACCGCAGAGAAAAAAAAAAAAAACATTCCCTGTGGATATTCCTGAACTTCTCTCCTTGGTTTGGTGGACTGAGAATTGTGTAGAAAAGAAAGGTGTCTGGTTGCTCTGAAGAAATTTATGGACACCTGCCAGGCCGGACTGCTGCAACATTCCTCTTTGGGAAAGGAGCAGTATATCCCTTGCCAAAATGCCAATTCCCTGGAACACAGCACCATGAGGCATCATATATTCCAATAATCCTTTCTGGAACCTTTACTGTATTTCTCCCTAGTCACATCACTATGTGTCACCTTCTGTAATTAATTCCTGCTTGTTTTAATGTCTCCTTCACCCTCATTCTCACTCCCTACAAGCAATCACTGTAATGAACCTTTCCAGGCTGACCTCACATTTCCAGGGGGAAAAAAATTGAAGCATGGCTAGCAATGATTTATTGTATTCCTCCCACCTTCTACTGCTCATCATTATTGGAGCAAGTGCCTTCCCTGGGTCCTGGCATCTGTTCTGTGCTGCTAATGGAGAGCTGACTGGGAATTTAATTAACTCTTCCACTGCTGAGAGAATTCTGGATCAGAGGGGAACAAACCACACAAATATAATGTCACTGTTAACTTATCATGGACAAGAGGGAATGGATTCAGGCTGAAAGAGAGTAGGTTTAGATTGGATATTGGGAAAAAATTGTTCTCTGTATGGGTGGGGAGGCACTGGCACAGGTTACCCAGAGAAGCTGTGGCTGCTCCATCCCTGGAAGTGTTCAAAGGATGGAGCTCTGAGCAACTTGGACTAATGGAGGGTGTTCCTGCCCATGGCAGGGGGGGGAACGAGATGATCTTTGAGATCCCTTCCAACCCAAACCAGTCTGTGATTCTATGCTTCTGTGTGTCAGTGTGGTGGAATAATTTAAAGCCAGAATGACTGAAGAATGAGTGAGGCACCTTACTAAACCATACCTGTGCTCCAGGTATTTGTGACAGCACATTGGTGGCACTGGGCTTGATAACTGGGGAGAACCCCTTTATTCTCTCGTAACAACAGGCACATTGCACTGGATTTCTCTCCTCCAAAGCATGATTACATTTTCACACCAGCTGTGGGAACCCTGGTGAGACAGACACTGGCACAGGTTGCCTAGGGAGGTAGCAGAAGCCCCAACCCTGGCAGTGTTCAAAGCCAGGTTGGATGAAGCTTTGAGCAACCTGGTGGGAGGTGTCCCTGCCCAGAGCAGGGGGTTGAGACTAGATGATCTCTAAGGCCCATTCGAACCATTAAATTCCATGATTCTATTTTTTCTCTCCTTTCAAACGTGGCTACAGTGAGATCATCCAACCTTCATCATCA